AGGAACCGGAGGCAGTACAGGAACTGGAGGCAGTACAGGAACCGGAGGCAGTACAGGAACCGGAGGTAGTACAGGAAGCGGAGGTAGTACAGGAACCGGAGGCAGTACAGGAAGCGGAGGCAGTACAGGAACTGGAGGCACTACAGGAACCGGAGGCAGTACAGGAAGCGGAGGTAGTACAGGAACCGGAGGCAGTACAGGAACCGGAGGCAGTACAGGAAGCGGAGGCAGTACAGGAACCGGAGGCAGTACAGGAACTGGAGGCAATACAGGAACTGGAGACAGCTCAGGAAGCAGTACAAGCAACCAGACACAAAATGAAGGTAATCAAGAGGAGTGCACGTACCTTGCTTCGTTGGTTAGATCAAAGCTGCACACATATACATGAAAAAGAATAAAAAATTTAAGCAATTTTATGGTCAATGTAAAATGGGGGAAGACAGTGATGCTTAGGAATCGGCAGAAACCAAAACTCGATTCAACTCGGCCAGGTCCATACACGTTCTGTGAACGATTTTTTCGAGTTTCCTTACTCCTTACTGCGCTGGACGACGTAGATGCGGTGGCAGAGGAGGGGGTTTTGTGTGTGTATGTGTGTTCCGGGCGCGGGGATTGGATAGAGAGGTGATTGGTAGGATGGATTGAGTAGTTATTTGGCGTAGGCATTTGGGGGAAAAAGGGTGGGGAGTGGGTGATGAGCGGAAATGAGGAGGAACCGCGTTGCTGGCTTCGCTGTGAATACGCAGGGCACGGAAAGGAATCAAGAGGAATTACACTGCGGAAGGCAGAGGAAAGGGAGGAGGAGAGTTGGCAATGGTGAATTTTTTTTTTGGGTGTGAGATTCGAGAGGAGGAGGTTGGGGTGGATGTGAGCGGGTGGCGTGTGCTGACTTCGCACGTAGGTATTCGAGGCAGGGGGAGGGGACTGGAGTGGGTGAGTGAAAGGACCACGTGGTACGCCATTGGCAGTTGCCTAGGCCACAGAAAGGTGGGAGAAAGGGAAGCAAGAAAAGAGAAAAGGCAAGAAAGTAAAAGCAAGAAAAGCAAACAAAAAACCGCCATCAATAGCGAATTCTCCCATGTATAAAGTGATGGCTAGGTAAAGTTGAAAGCGAAAAGGGTGAAGCTGACGCTTAGGTAAGTCTGAAAGCAAATAAGGTGAAGCTAATAATTAGGTAAAGCTGAGAGTTCTCAGCTTTACCTAAGCATCAGTTTCATAAATAAGCTTGTCCTCCCCCTTTATCCTGCCCCAAACCCTGCCTGCAGGACGGCTTCTGGATACCCATCACCCACCACACCTACCCTTTCAACCACTACTACTGCAAATCACTCCATGCTCCTCACTAGCCCCCTTGCTTCGCTTCTCCACCTTGCCTTAATCCGTGTCTCCTGAGCTGTACCCGGGCACCTACCAACCAATACCCTCGCCCTTCCTCCCACCCCTCCCCCCTCCCTCCCTCCACTCTCTACAACGCAAGTGGCATAATAGTCGAACGCCAGGTAAGATAGAGATCTGGCAAAGCGCTCAGCGGCGTCGACGAGATTCGCCACGAAATAGCATTAGCCGAGATGTAGAGTAACGGCAGAGCCGATTTTTATGCGTTTTTGCATATCAGCGCTATAGCTGCTATAGCCAGCAAAAACGCATATTGTCGAGAGCTGTCTGTGTGTGTGTTCGGAAGGCGAGTGCATTTTGTCACACATATCAGCAACCAGGAAAGATGGAAGGCTGAAACTTTAGATATTTGTTCCTTCCCCGTTTGTCATCCTTCCGTTTTAAGTTATTTCCCCAAACCCGCCTAGACTCCGCGTACGGGACCCCCAAAGAAATATGTTGGCGGCAAACGATTTCGCGAACCAAGCAGCGTAGAAAGCTGAAACTTTACAGGGATATTCTCTGTGCACGTGCGAGATAAAAATTTTAAACTCAGTTCTCTAGCTTTCCAACCACAGCCTCAGGCAACTCCTCAACCCAAAAATCGTTAGCAATTCGGACCTAAACCGCAATTGTATATGTAAATGAACATGGATTTTCTGACCAGCGACTGCTCGAGCAATACTTCTACTTTTTAGTGAAACGGAAATTTGCATTTTTTCAAAAAGTTTGCATTTGTCATTTTTATGCGTTTTTGCCTATATGCAAATTGCAAAAACGCATATTGGGACGACTCTGTCTGTATGTGTGTGTATGTATGTATGTGTGTGTATGTTTGTGTGTGTGTGTGTTCGTCTGTCCGGATATTTCAACTCGGCAACCAAGCAAGTTTCAGCGCCCAGATTTTGCTATTGGGTACTCCGGACAAGTACCACCCCAGAACCGCGGTACCGTCCCTCACGCACGTCTGGGCCCCGCGTACGAGAGGGCGAAAGTTTTGGCGAGAAAATTCATAACTCGGGAGCGAAAAAAGAAAAAAGGCTGAAACTTCG